GTATAATGTAGCCCTGGAAGATGCGCTTGTATAATGTAACCCTGGAAGATGCGCTTGTATAATGTAGCCCTGGAAGATGCGCCTGTATAATGTAGGCCTGGAAGATGCGACTGTATAATGGCGGGTTTTTGCTTGCTTCRGAGTCGGCAACAGATTATGACGAAGTGAAACCAGAAAACGGAGTCAAAAGCTGAATCAGAAGGATTCGGAGATTTCATTTGTTTTGGCTTGTGCTTAATGTTGTGCATCAATTGCTTTCTACTCCGATTCAGACGCATGGATGTGTTTCAATGAATTGTACGACGTCGTAACTTACGGACGTGCCTTACCGTGACGTGACCGTACAGTGAACGCGCATTTTGATTGGATGATTAGTGACGGTGCGCGCTGTGATTGGTTCAATGGGTATCAATTCGTACCATTACCGTTCCGTGTGACGTGCGTTTTCACAGTCTTAAATACTGAGCGCCATCTGTATATCAACTATTGTTTTTTGTTTTTTTCAGTCTCCAAGATCATCGTCTCCTCGTGTTACTGGCCGCGCGGTTATGTCAAGATTACAACAGTTTTTATACAAGATGGATTCCATAAAAGCAACAAAGGTCAGACAAGGCAAACGCAAGAGAAATAAAAAAAAGTAGATTTAGATAGTAACCGCAATAGTAACTAATAGAGACCTTTGAATGAAAGAGACTGTTTTAACACACAAACAATTATTCACATCTCTATCATCGCAAGCTCGCCATTCATCTCGCTTTAATACAAAGGTACGGCTACCACTCAAGATGGCGTAGGGAACTGCCAAAGGGGTCTATTCACTGGGTGCAGACCCACCCTGTGTAAATACCACTACCAAATCCCACTCTTAAAGTGCAAATGAACAATACTTTCAGTACTGATTCTACATGAAGTAAATAGTTGAACGGTAAAATATTTCTTGATTTGAGTGATGCGCTTCTAAGTTATGAAGGTTTATACTTCCAATATGCTAATGAGTGTGACGTCTATTAAGGCTTAATTAAATATACAAAATCGAACTGCTTCATAGATACAGTATTTAAAAAGCATCATTATTTTACTCATGGTTTACATGAAAGCTATTTAAAATTTTTATTTTTAAAATGTTCAGCATTTAGTATTACTAGTTACAACAAAAACACTCAAATACCTTACCCGACTTCATCATCATTAACATATTGGAAGTATAAACCTTCATAACTTAGAGACGCATCACTCAAATCAAGAAATATTTTACCAATTAACTATTTACTTTAAGCAGAACCAGTACTGAATGTATTGTCAAAGGGTCCATTTGCACTTTAAGTATATCTTACATCGAGACCATAATATACTCATTTCCTCATGAGCATGGATATCTTATTTTACAGGATGAAAAGCGAGACTCGCCTGATGGCACAGCAGCTGCTGATGAACTCACCATCAGTTTCACAGAACCTTCTCGTCCTACGTCTCACTTACCGTCCCCTCCCTTGTCATCAGTATCGTCCCAGAGTCCTGAGCACTCGATTCAATCACCTGTTTCACCTGGTATCGAAAGGATTGATGTGACGACAGAAAATTTGTTAGAATTGGTACCGGAACGAGACTTGAAGTCAACTGGTTCTCAGACAGACTTGACTCAAGATTCTTTAGAGGCAATGACAAGTGAAAATAAGAGAGGTAATATTGATGGTCATAGATTGTGTGCCATCCTTTCCCTTCTCTTGCCTTGCCTTCTCTGCCTTTGCCTTGCCTTCTTTACCCTTGCCTTGCCTTGCCTTTACTGCAGTTGGGCTTGCCATTCTTTTCCTTTCCTTCCCTTCCCTTCCTTTCTCTTTCCATCCTTTCCATTCTCTTCCCTTGCTTTGCCTTCTCTACCCTTGCCTCGCCTTGCCTTCACTCCAGTTGAGTTGCCATCCTTTCACTTCCCTAYCATTCTATCTTATTGCTTTACCATCCTTTCCATTCCTTTCCCATCCTTCATTCTCATCCTCAAAGTATGTCTTTTTCTTTTAAGCACAAAGCATTTAATAATTAATAATTTCATTACTATTTTTGTTCCTTTTCCCACTTTTAGACACAATTCCTATTTCCTTTCTCCCACAAATTTAAATTTCTCTTCATGACTTTTCCTTGTGTTTGTGATCACCGTCACAGATCAAAGTCCTTCAGAGGAACCCAATTTGCTAAGTCTATGGAGAAGAAAACTCTCACCCTCCTCATATACTCCAGACGACAATAACTTTTACCTACAAGATGATGATGTACCTCTCACAGATGGCTCTCTTAATAGCACTCACTTTGTAGATGGAGTAGGATTACATGTTAGGTGAGTCTTATTCAGTACTGGTAGCTAGTGGGTCTCAGGCTTTGAGGCAGTTTGATTTCACCTGATCCTGCTTTCCTCTCAGTAAAAAGAATCAGCTTTCTAAATTCTCGCGTGGCGTCTGATCCTCTGGATTGGCATAGTGAATATCGAGTCCCCGCGTCATTGACGTTGCTATGATGTTACATGATATCTCCTTTATATTCCCTTAATAATCCTTATAAGAGCCCTCTACTACTAACATAGCGCTGCTCGGGCGACAAAGTGTGCGCCGATCCTGTCAAAGACCTCTGCAAAATTTTCAAAAAATCTTAAATTTTTTTAAAAATGTTGGATTTTTTTGTTGAAAATTTGACTCTACAAATGTCATTTATTAATAGATATTTTTATTTTTCATGTATTTAAACTAATCTTTYTTGTGTTGTTTTGTTTCTTTAGTCCACCACCCAGTGAAAAAGAAATAGAGGTAATACTGGCTTTCTTACTGAACACTTTGTGGCGATCTCTGATATCCTACTAAAAAACGATCAGTCCTTGAATATTCAGTTGTTGTTACATCTACATATATTTATTATTTTCCGAGTTTTCGGATCTTAGATCTATCATCAGGGAATGTAAATATTAATGATAACAACATACAAAGGAACCTTAAATTTAATCTGTTATTGGTTGGTAAATATTATATATCTGTATTTGTTAACCATTGTAGAAGCAGTTCAAGACTTTAGTCCTCGCGTTCCAAACAGACCAGTTAACATTAAGGAAACGAATGGAAGTACAGGTATTATAGGTGCATGATGTAGATAACTGCTCCCTCCCCCTCTCCACTTCGTGCCCGTCTCCTCCCTTCCCATCTACTCTTCCTACTCTCCGTTATGAGGCTGTCCATTTTTGGATATCATTAAGCTTTCTTTACCGCTTATATAATTCTAACATACGTTTGAGTTAACACGCTATGCCTCTTGCTTGGAATGTCCCGCGTGCCTCCATAACTGGGTCATTGTTTCTAAATTTTGATGTATTTTTTCACAGGCAAGAAGCCGAGATATCGCGGAAAAGAACATGGATAAAGAACTTCAAAACATGGCAGATCTGATTAAGGTAGGCTCTGGTGGACAGACAGACCYCTTGTACTAATTCTCATCTGGGGTCAAAACAAAAGAATTCCCTTCTCTTTAGAATTAAAATATTTTTTGATATCAATATTTTCACGTCATAACATGACGTCATATGTTTCTCTTTTGACCTCATTTTGCTCAAATTTTAGGTTTTTTTATTAACTTATATTATTTTGATCAGGATTTAGAGGAAAAGTATATGAAAACAAGAGAACTGCAGGTAGTATTTTCAGCCAAAAAACTACTATTCCTTTTATCGGCGGGTAGATGGACAGTAGGGTGGGGGGGGTGGGGAGTTAATACGATGTGAGAAGGAATGGATAATTTATTAGATGAATAAATAGGTTGGTGAATGGGCTTAATGTTTCTTATTCCAGACCACGTGTCATTCCCTTGAGAACAATAATYTTTGTTTGAGTTGTATCCATATTCATGAGTCTTTTCATGAGCAACTGCTAAACAAAGAAAGAATACTCTAGGGAATGAGACGTGGTCTATAATGGAAAACATTACGCCCAAATGGATTTGGTCCATAGAAGCCTTTATTACGCACCTTAACCTAAACCCTATTATATCATTTTTTTATAGCATATAGTGTCGTCATTGAAAACACAAATCGACCTCCTGCGTCATTCAGCACAACGTTTGTGTCTAGTAGCACAACAACATGGCAGTGTACAACAGGTAGGAATACCCTCATTGTGTGTGTGTGTATGTGGGCTTCCTTGGCAGAGTATTGCATGGGCCTGCTTGCTTAGTACCTAGCCATTTGGTCAGTTAGATAGGTCGTGTTTCGAGCCTCCGCGGGACCAGCAATTAGGGTCTTAAATACCAGTAGAAGGCACTGTCTTTGCTCTAAAAATGTATACAAACAGTAAGACTTTCGTTGTRGATCGATCATGACCACGTGAAATGGCGGTCCCGTCTTAGAAACGTTTCATATAGAGGGCAACAAGGATATCAGCACTAACTTGCTCATTTCATTATATTTTCTAGGAATCTCGCATGTGGTCAGGAATAGAAGTCATGATATGCCACGCTGAGAATATCAACAGACGCCTTCAGAGGGTTAGGGAAGATCTTGATGAATTTAGGTAATTTTTTTATAATCAATAACACATTCCACTTAGGGGCACTAAGACGTCACGTGACACTACCCTCTTAATCAAATAGTTGTTTCAAAATTAACACTCCAGTTATGCAAAATTAGATCATTTAGTTGAATTCATATAATACCGTTGCGTTCCTTGATTACAGAATCATTTACTCAGGGTTAGCCTCGAATCAGTGTCTAAATATTCACAAATACCAACGGTAAAGTAAAGAATGCACAACTTCAACAATATAAGCACTGAAATTCCACGGACCTGAAACACATGAATATTCTGCACAAAATCGAGGCTAACCCTGAGCAACAGAGAACTTGAAACTGGAATCCTACACCACAATCTTTTCTGTGAGAAATTTTCATTCAATTTTCATTCATTTTTACTTTATCCAGAAAAAAAGAACGGCTAAATTCAGACGATTCAGACGTAGGCGAGTCAAGTGCACCACAGCTTTGCAATGGACCCACGAGAATAGGTTAGTAATTTCATTGAGTAACGATGTCCTTATCGTTTGTGGATTAGAGTGTCTTATATTACTTTCTCTTGTTGCGCACATTTTAGCCTGCGTAGCGGGACAAAGCTTACATAGGCTACGGGCATGTCTGTCGAGTCGATAATGAAGCGTTTTACGGCGCGCAATAATTTCAACTTGTTTATTTTGGCGTGCGCAAAAAAACGACAAGCAAACGAAACAAAACAAAGAAACAACAACAAAAAAAGACAAAAACAAAAACAAAGACAAAAGCAAAAAAAAAAACGTGTCGTGTTATCGAGGTCGCATAATCTGTCTAATCCGGTGGGCTTATGCTGCGTTTTACTGATTCAAGGTATTGTACTGTATTGTAGGTGGTCCATATGGAGAAGAGGACAAGCTTGAAGGATCTGAACCGGTTAGTATTATCTTTCTGGTCAGTTATGATAAAAATTTAATAATGATGATGATAAATGTTGATGATGGTGATGATAATGATGGCTTTGATGATGATGATGATGTTAATGATGGTAATATGTGATGATGGTGATGATGATGATGATGATGGTGACAATCATGATGATAGTGATGATTATGATGATGATGATGATTGTGAAGGCGGTCATAGTCTGATAATAAAATTATCAAAATTATCCCATGAATGTACCTGTGTCATCCATATGTTTTCATCTGTTTCACCTTCAGGAAACCAGTACCACCGAACACCGAAACAGCCTAGTGAATTTTGTAATGGCAATTCACAACACATCCCAACGTGCTAAACAAGTATTAACAAACTTCAGACGTCGTACAATTGACCTATCAGCATTAAGCACCACACGAGAAGAACCAAGCGAAACACCGCAGGATTCTAGAACATCAAGTATCGACGAAGGCAAGGAGAGTTCTGATGAGAGAGAATCAGAAGAGACTGAGGGAGAGATGCCTGAAGTGGTGTCAAGACCAATCCCAGAGGAACCTAGGTATGAGAATAGACCTTGGGTATAAAGTTTACCCATTTCAGACCATGTGTTATTCCCCAGAGTATCATCTCTTTACCTTCGGCTTAATGTTTTCCCATTTCAGACAACATGTCTAGAGTGTCATTTTTTTGTTTAACGGTTGTGCATGAGAAGACACATGCGTATGGATGCAACACAAGCAAAGAATCTTATTCTCAAGGGAATAACACGTGGTCTGAATAAAAAGATTATGTTCAAGCCTCCATATAGGCTCCATCCACAATAATTCGTTTTCGTCTTATGGAAAGTTTGTCGTTCACATAAGCTACTGAGAGTTTTCACTCGTGTACTCCGAAACGTTCAAAAGCRCAGATACATTCGGAAATGATGCAATATCATCATCTGCACAATGCATGCACACAAGCATCTTGTCTGGTTATTACCTGCTTATACCTATTGCTAATAGAAAGATTTAGCAACGAGAAAGACAGAGAAAGGAGAGCACATTGCATTGAATGCAATTGGCAGAGGAAGGTGTGTGTGTGTGGTAATGAATGCGATCAACATCATKGTACTAGCCAAAATGAAATGTTTGCCATCCTTTTATTTTTTATTTGATATTAACAGGATCCAGAAAAGGGGTATCTGTCGTCGAATGTGTGGTGCACTGTTCCGCTTTATCTTTTTCGTTCTTCTTGTCATCTTCCTTGCAATTGCTTCAATTATCATCCTGAATGAATACACCCCATACAAGCTTCAACGAGAACAAATACCGATTAGTATACTTAGGTTCCTGGATCCAGTTGCTGTGTTAGTACATCAACATCGTCCGCCTGTCTAGCCAATCAGTGATAGTCATACAAGCTTGAAAGAGAATGCACAGCAACCGACTGGCAATATTTGGATAACCACAACATCAACGTACTTAAACCACCACATCATCAACATACTTGGATCTCACCACAATGTCAAACTTTAATCACTATATCTCATAACTATTAGTATCCCTACGTCTTACTCACCTCACTCATACATTAATTGTCATACTATGCATATCGTATCATTAAAACAGGCAAAGCCATGCRCACAATAACTTAAGACTATATAAGCTATAAAATACGATATTTTCATAACAGTACCTTATGAGGTAAGTCTTTATGGTAAACTCAAAGTGTAACTTATATTTTTCCTGGTGATGAAATTGTACTTTATCTACTTTACAATTGTAAGATTGTATCTGTTGTGCAGAAAGCTTAGAAAGGTTATTAAAATAACCCTTCTCTCTTCATATTAAGATATGGTTGTGTTGATCATAACTAGTTGTACAAGGAGTGGATACTGCAATGGATAAATCCTTATCCAGTGGATAAGTTGATGCCATTATCCAACATATGTATCCAGTGGATAAGTCGATGCGGTTATCCAATAAATTTATCCACGGGAAATAGTGAAATAGTGCTTTCCRCCCTTTGTGCAACCAAGCCCTTTTGTACATAATATTACATTTATGCATTCATTGCACAACAATCACTAACATACACCTTAGCAAAGTGATATTTAACAGCAACCATTACACAAGGTCTCATTCCTTCCTTGTTATGGAGTCCCTTTAAATGCAACCTACATCTGGTTGTTTTTTCATTGTTATTTATGCCTTCTGTCTTATAAACCTACTGTAATAGTTTATCGTTAAATGAAGAATTAATTTCACATGTGTTTTTGAAAGTTATCAAATTGATGTCATTGCTTCTAGATGGGTAATTAAAGAAAATTTGAAAAACTACACGTAGATAAAGACACCCTTGAATAGACCCCATGCAGCACGTTGAAATACAGTTCAATTTGGAGGACATATATAACAATAGGTTTCCAATAGCCAATGATGCAYGAGCACGAATCTCTAGCACGAGCATGATGGTAAACTGAGTACCATTTTTTCCTTCAACATTTTCTATGAAACTGTAAGTATTTCAACAGGCGAAAATAACATTAATTTTTGTCTGATAATTCTATTGATTTTCTTGTTCTGACTTGTGTACTACTGGTTTCCCATTATGCTTGGTGTTAAAAATTCGTGCTTGTCCACATTGGCCACTCTCAAAACATTAAAATTCTTTTGTTTTGTCCTCCAAATTGAGCTGTTTTGACGTCACATGCAAGGAGGCTATACTTCCATTAGGATTTGATTAAATATTGATTACATAGAGTATATATAGATATAATAGAGGCAGAAAATATCATATTTATAATAACAGATACCAGAAATCACTTTTGTGACTAAGATAGACCTCTCATGCGGCAGCCATGTTGGCTCACATTCAAGTCCGTTTAGCCTCACATTCAAGCACTTTGGGATGAGTTTGAAGGGTCAGAAACAAAGGATTTAATTCTGATCGTCAGGGAATAAGCATGGTTGCTAAGTGACAAAGGTCTGACAGCAAAGGTATTTAATACTGGTATTTACTAGATACACTGATCAAATGTTAAAAACAGATTATATATTAAGACTATTTAAGCCCATAACTTTGCACCTTCAGTAAATCTAATAAATACAATCTCAGACCTTTTCAGGGCAAACAATCATGGTGCATTATGGTCTAGCTAGGGTACAAACCTATTTTATTCACTATGCCTTTTTTGGTGTTGTTTGTACCCAGGCTAGGCCACAATGCATCCTGTTTTAATATCTGTCTACCCTTCCACCTGTAACCAGGTCATTAGTTATGGGCTTGGACAAGGCTTAAACTTATTGTTTGATTTCATAGAGATTATTTAATAATTTAAAAAATGATGGTCTTGATGACATTTACATCACTTCCGATGATCACATGATTAATTCTATTTATAGCATCAATCACTATTTAAAGAAAATGATTGTATTTTAGATTTAATGTCCAACTTGTGAAGACTTGGATAAACTGAAATCCATTCATATCATGTCTTAGTGGAATGCTACCATTCAAAGAATCAATATACATAGAAAACTTTATACGTATAGAATGATTTTGCATAAAAATTTTCAAAGAAAATTATTAAGAATTTCTAGTTGACAATTGACAATAAAAATCCATTACTTACTTGTGACTGAGAACAGCTTAACAAACTGGTGCTTTTTTAATTACATTGAAATAAATTTTCACAAGCTTTATAACAGTTTATTTCGTTGTGTACATCACAGAACTTTTCACTTACCTTTGCCCGAAAATGGCCCAAAATGACCTATTTTGCATCCATCATAAATAATGCATATTTTTCCAAAACGTGTGAAAATGGGCCAAAATCGATCAAAACCATGGGCTATA